AGCGCTGTGGCATCACAGCTCACAGCAACCTCCAACTCCTGGGCTCAAGCAATTCTCCTGCCTTCGCCTCCCAAGTAGCTGGGACTACAGGCATCCACCACAACGCCTGGCTATTTTTTGGTTGCAGCCGTCATTGTTGTTTGGTGGGCCCAGGCTGTATTCAAACCTGCCAGCTCAGGTTTATGTGGTTGGCGCCTTCACCACTTGAGCCACAGGAGCCAAGCCACAAAACTTTCTTGAAAGATGAATTTTTCCCCTCTAGATATATGTCCTGAAACTGAAAAAAATGGAACTGTTACCATTCCATGCTGATGTGGAGATTGGCCAGATTATAGAAATCCCCATTGCAATGTATCACATAAATAAGGAGACCAAAGAGGCAATTGCATTCACAGACTGTTCTCATTTATCTTTGGATTTGAACATGGATAAACAAGGAGTCTTTACTGTTTTCAAAGAAGGTAAGAATACTTCTCCTTCTTTTGTTCTCAGAGTGTCTCCTCTAAGTTTTTTTTTTTTTTTTTGAGACAGAGCCTCAAGCTATTTTTAGTAGGGTCTTACTCTTGCTTAGATTGTTCTTTTTTTTTTGGAGACAGAGCCTGAAGCTGTCCCCTGGGTAGAGTGGCTGTGGCATCACAGCTCACAGCAACCTCCAACTCTTGGGCTTAAGAGATTCTCTTGCCTCAGCCTCCCAAGTAGCTGGGACCACAGGCGCCCACCACAAGGCCTGGCTATTTTTTGGTTGCAGCTGTCATTGTTGTTTGGCAGGCCTGGGCTGGATTCAAACCCGCCACCTTAGGAGTATGTGGCTGGCACCTTAGCCACTTGAGCCACAGGCGCCGAGCCGCTTAGACTGTTCTTAAACTTCTGAGCTCAAGCAATCCTCCTACCTCAGCTTCCCAGAGTGCTAGGATTACAGGTGTGAGCAACTGTGCCTAGTCAGCATAAAATACTTTAAACTTCTCTTTTTTGGACAAAGCAATATTTATGGACATTAAAACTTCCTGATCTCTCTATCTAGAGATAATCTTTCTATTTTCTAGATGTGTTACTTTTTTTGTTTGTTTTTTTGAGACAGAGTCTCACTATTTCGCCCTGGGTAGAGTGTCATGGTGTCACAGCTCTCAGCAATCTCAATCTCTCAGGCTTAAGCAATTCTCTTGCCTCAGCCTCCCAAGCTGGAACTACAAGGTGCCCACTGATACATATCTTTTAATTGAAAGAACAGATTTTCTTCTTGAGACAAACTCTGTCCCCCTTGCTAGAGTATAATGGTATACTCATATAGCCCAGTGCAACCTCAAATTCCTGAACTTTGTCCTCCTGCCTTAGCATCTCAAGTATCTAAGACTACAGGATCATGCCACCATGCCTGGCTAATTTTTCCATTTTTTGTAGAGATAGAGTCTCACTCTCATTCAGGCTGGTCTCAAATTCCTGAACTCAAGCAATCCTTCTGCCTTAGCCTCCCAGAGCACTGGGATTATGGGTGTGAGCCACTAAACTGAGCATTAAAGAGCAGATTTTGTTGTTGTTGCTGTTGTTGTTTTGTAGAGACAGAGTCTCATTTTATCGCCCTCGGTAGAGTGCTGTGATGTCACACAGCTCACAGCAACCTCCAACTCCTGGGCTTAGGCGATTCTCTCTCTCTTTTTTTTTTTAAATTTGCTTATTTATTTATTTTGCAGGGGGTTCTTTTGGCTAGGACTGGGTTTGAACCCACCACCTCCAGTATATGGGGCCAGCAGCCTACTCCTTGGGCCACAGGCGCTGCGCTTAGGCGATTCTCTTGCCTCAGCCTCCCAAGTAGCTGGGACTACAGGCGCCTGCCACAATGCCCAGCTATTTTTTTGTTGCAGTTTCGCTGGGGCTGGGTTCAAACCCGCCACCCTCGGTATATGGGGCTGGCGCCCTGCCCTCTGAACCACAGGCGCTGCCCGAAAGAGCAGATTTTTATATCAGCTTGATATAAAAATGGAAGACTAATGGTTACTTTGAGGTCAAGATAACATATTTATTTATTTATGAGAGTGTCTCAAGCTGTCACCTGGGTAGAGTGTTGTGGCATCACAGATCACAGCAAACTCCAACTCTTTTTTTTTTTTTCTTTGAGACAGAGCCTCAAGCTCTCCCCCTGGGTAGAGTACCGTGGCATTACAGCTCACAGCAACCTCCAACTCCTGGGTTCAAGCGAGTCTCCTGCCTCAGCCTCCCAGGTAGCTGGGACCACAGGTGCCAGCCACAACAGCCAGCTATTTTTTTTTTTTTTTTGGTTGCAGCTGTCATTGTTGTTTGGCAGGTCCAGGCTGGATTCGAACCCGCCACCTTAGGTGTATGTGGCTGGTGCCTTAGCCGGTTGAGCTACAGGTGCCGAGCCACCTCCAACTCTTGGGCTTAAGCAATTCTCTTGCCTCAGCCTTCCAAGTAGCTGGGACTACAGGCACCTGCCACAACACCTGGCTATTTTTTGGTTGTAGTTGTCATTGTCATTTGGTAGGCCTGGGCTGGATTCAAACCTGCCGGCTCCAGTGTATGTAGCTGGCACCCTAGCTATTCGAGCCACAGCTGCTGAGCCAAGATAACATTCTTAATGTATTAAAATTCTTATATATTTATAACTAATTTCCTTGAGAACTGACTGTGAATTATCCTACTGAAATCATGTTTTGATAAACAGGTATTCAAAGACCTGGACCAAAGCACTGCTCCAGTACACATATAGCAGCCAAATCTCTGGGCCATACTCTGGTAACAGTGAGTGTGACTGAGTATGAAGAGTACTTGGAGAGCAGTGCCACATTTGCTGCTTATGAACCCCTAAAGGTGAGATATTTGATGGCAAAAACAAGAATTTATTTTCATGGACCCAGCTATGTCCACTTAGGGGCTTACTAGCTATCTATGGTCTCTCCTAAGGATTAGTGATATTTATGTTCTTGCCTTTTCTTTCTTTTTTTTTCTTTTTTTTTTTTTTTTTTGAGACAGAGCCTCAAGCTGTCACCCTGGGTAGAGTAGCATAGCATCACAGATCACAGTAACCTCCAACTTCCGGGCTGAAGCGATTCTCCTGTCTCCGCCTCCCAAGTAGCTGCCTACTACAGGCACCCATCACAACGCTGGGCTATTTTGTTGTTGTTGTGGTTTAGCAGGCCTGAGTCGGGCTTGAACCCACCAGCCCCAGTGTTTGTGGCTGGTGCCCTAACCACTGTGCTACAGGTGCCAAGCCCCACGTCTTGATTTTCACTTTACACAGCTGAATACTTTCCAGACAGCCCTCGTATACCTCATAAACACCTAGATAAGGAATATTAGCATACTCCCTTTAAGAACCCTGAAAGATGCCCATAGCACAGTGGTTACAACGCCAGCCATATGCACCGAGGCTGGAGGGTTTGAACCCGGCCCAAGTCAGCTAAACAACAATGACAACTGCTTGCTCAGTGCCTGTGGCTCAAGCAGCTAAGGCGCTAGCCACATACACCTGAGCTGGTGGGTTCAAATCCAGCCCCAGCCTGCCAAACAATGGCAGCTGCAATCAAAAAATAGCCAGGCACTGCGGCGGGTGCCTGTAGTCCCAGCTACTACGGAGGGTGAGGAAGGAGAATCACTTGAGCCCAGGAGTTGGAGGTTGCTGTGAGCTGCGACAGCTAGAGGCTCTGTCTCAAAAAAAAAACAACAATGACAACTACAACAAAAAATAGCTGGGCATTGTGGCAGGCACCTGTAGTCCCACTGACTTTAGAGGCTGAGGCAAGAGAATCACTTAAGCCCAAGAGTTGGAGGTTGCTGTGAGCTGTGTGATGCCATGGCACTCTACCAAGGGTGATAAAGTGAGACTATCTCTACAAAAAAAAAAGAGTTAATCTGGCAAAAAATAGTAATCTGGTGACACATGCCTGTAGTCATGAAGCTCAGTTAGGGAGATCACTTAAACCCAGAAGTTTGAGGTTGCAGTGAACCATGATGACACCACTGCATTCTAGCCCAGGTGACAGAGTGAAACCTGTCTCAAAAATTTGTATGCAGTTATTTATACAATGCCCATTGTATGTACAACATTGTACTATATCTGCTGAGGAAGATGAGAAAGAGAAAATATTTTAAAACTTAAATGAATAAACATGATTGAATTCTCTAACCTACCAGAGATTTTTTAAATGTTGTTAGGCTCTAAACCCCGTGGAAGTGGCATTGGTGACATGGAAGTCTGTGAAGGAAATGGTATTTGAAGGGGGCCCTCATCCCTGGATCTTGGAGCCCTCCCGATTTTTTTTGGAACTGAGTGTGGAGAAGATGGAGAAGATTGAAATAACACAAGTCCGGCTGCCAGCTAAGAGAAAACAGAACCAGTACATCTACCGAGTCCTGTGCCTGGATTTAGGGGAACAAGTAGGAAAATGGTGTTTTTCTAGCATTTTCTTGATACAGTACTCCAAATCTTTTGTATTTCCAGCCATTCCTTTTTAGGTTTCAATGTATTTAGTTTATGGACTACATAGGAAAATTTTCATTATTGATCAAAGGATCTTTCTCTTTTTTTAAACCTTACTACCCTTTAAATGTACCCAAAGATTTTAATTTGCTCATGAGAACTCTAACAGTTCACTAACTAAACAATTCAAGATATTCTTGTAGTAATAAGCTTTTTTCACATTATTTTCAGTTTATTGTTATATTTGGTTTTCCACTTTCAAATAATTCAAGGAAGGGAAACTTTGAAATGTCATCTATGGATAGCAATTTTGACGAACCAGTTAGACTTATGCTGGTCACAGTAATAAATGTGTTGCCCCTCTGTCAGTTGAATGAGTTTTGATTATTTTTAGAGGTAGTTATAGATTTGCATAGTTCTCATTCATAGCTGTGCCCTGCTTTTATTGAAACCAGTAACAAATCCTCATAGTTTGAGCAGGGTTGAGGATTCAAGGTATGACTGAAAGACAGCATGGCTGACCAGCACTCAGAGGGAATCAGTGTAAGACTTTAACTTATTAACAATGTACTATAATCAGTTAAGCTTCTTTCCAATATTTGTAGTGAACTTAACTTTATATATGACTAGTTATTAGTAATTTCAGGCCTAATTACCCCCCTTTTCTCCTATTTTTTTTTTACTGTGGCAAAATACATGTACAACTTACCATTATAACTGGGTTTTTTTTGGTTTTGTTTTGTTTTTTGAGACAGAATCTCACTATGTTGCCCTCAGTATAGTGCCATGGTGTCACAGCTCACAGCAACCTCAAACTCTTGGGCTTAAGTGATTTTCTTGCCTCAGCCTCCCAAGTAGCTGGGACTACAGGTGCCTGCCATAACGCCTGGCTATTTTTTGGTTGTAGTTGTCATTGTTGTTTGGCAGGCCCAGGCTGGGTTTGAAAGTGCCAGCTCTGGTGTATGTGGCTGGCACCCTAGCTACTGAGCTACAGGATCCAAGCCCATCATAACTGTTTTTAAGTGTGTTGTGCAGGCATCACCACCATTTACTCCATAACTCTTTTTATTTGATAACACTGAAACTCACCCATTTTATGCTTCTGCCCAGCCTCTGGCAATTGCCATTCTACTCTCTATATATAATTTTGACTACTCAAAGTACCTCATATAAATGGAATGATAGCATATTTTTCTTTACGGGCTTATTTCACTTAGCATAGTTTTCTCAAGGGTAGCATATATCAGAATTTCCTTCCTTTTAAAGGCTTCATCCATCTGTTGATGGACATTTGGGTTGCTTATAGTAAGTTTTAGCAATCATGAATAATGCTGGTGTAAACATAGTTATAGAATCATATCCTCAAACCCTTCTTTTTAATTGTTTGGGATATATAGCCAAAAGTAGAATTGCTGGACCATATAATTCTTTTTTTTAATTTTTTGAGGAAAAGTCATTCTCTTTTCCACAGCAACTATGCCATTTTGGACGGCGTCTGTGGCTCAGTGGGTAGGGCGCCGGCCCCATATACCAAGGGTGCAGGATCAAACCCAGCCCAGGCTAAAGTGCAACAAAAAATAGCCGGGAGTTGTGGCAGGCACCTGTAGTCCCAGCTACTTGGGAAGCTGAGACAAGAGAATCACCTAAGCCCAAGAGTTGGAAGTTGCTACAAGTTGTGATGCCACAGCACTCTACGAAGGGCGATAAAGTGACTCTGTCTCTAAAAAAAAAAAATTATGCCATTTTACATTCCTACCAAGCAGGCGAAAGTGTTTGCATTTTTCCACATCCTTGCCAACACTATTTTCTGCTTTTTCTGGTAGTAACCATCCTAATGGTATGAGGTAGTATCTCCTTGTGGTTTTAATTTGCACTTCCCTAACGATTAGTGATGCTGAATATTTTTTCATGTGCTTACTGGCCATTTGTATATCTTCATTAGA